GTTCTATTCTAATAATTTCTTTTATCACATTTCTCGCCCATGAAACTCTTTCAATTTCTTACTTCTTTGAAACAGACAATCTTAAAAAAGTAAATGCAACGTCAATCATCATCTTATTTCCCCTGAGACTTGTTGTCCTTCCTCCTCACTAATCTTGCGATTCTCTTTTACTCTCAGTAACCATTTGCGTCTTAATGGCATTATCGTCTTGCTCGGGATAACATTATTAAAAAAATAAAGAAGAAGAAATTTCTTATGACTATAAAAAAAATTTGGGTGTTTATTTTGATGGGTAGACGTGTTTGTGTCGACATCGCTGTTTATTTACAGATTTTAATGGCATTGTAAATAAACAGGCATGTCGACTCAACCACGTGTGCCCACTAGAATAACTTTTATAGCAATAAGAAATATTATCCATTAATTTCTTCAATACATTTATATAATAACATAAATGATATCTTTAAATAAGATGGAACAAAACTGTATTGAGCATCCGTTCATAAAAGGAATAAAATTAATACTGATGGAGAATGTAAATTTCTTCATGGTTAACTCCAGAGAGTTGTAAGTTATTCCAAGAGCTTTTAAGTAGTTATTAACATTCTTGAGAAGAAGGTACGGTATATCAGTTGGTCATGAACTGTCATCGCAACAATAATGCCAGAAACAAAATAATGTTTGAGAGACGTCTGAGATACTGCAATTAATCTTTATTATAATGATCTTCAGTTTAAAAAGGTACCATTTTAGCATCCCGCTACCACCCTTTTTATCAACATTAATTTTTGTATAAAAAGTGGATCACAGAGCTTATTCAACTAAATAAATATTTTCAGAAAACCTCAACTTCTGATTGGTCACTTAATATTTAAATCATGCCCGAATATCAATATCAATTTTCGTACAAAAAGTGGATCACAGAGCTTATTCAGCTTAATGTATATTTTCAGAAAATCTCAACTTCTAATTGGTCACTTAATATTTAATAACATCGACCTAGTTCTTGGCCTGACCAAAAAGATAATTCCTCCAAAATCTATCAAGCTTCTGTGAGCCTATCACGTGACAAAGTTAGCAATAAACTATGCAACGTCTTTCATCTTCGACAGTGCGCCGATCGGAATCCTTTGAACTCGTCACACAGTTCCAGTCTTTACGTTAAAGTTCCTTAACATGATTCAAGCCTGAGAGAACATTCACTTACACAGCAATATTTTATGACGAACAATCAACTCAAGTTTTCCACATTCAACTTAATACACGAATCTTTTTCATACGCTCAACGTTAATTATTGCAATTAACATAAACACAGCTTGTTAAGAACCACTTAGCCCAACTAGAATATTTTCTCCGAACCAGTGAAAACAAATCAAAGAGCGACAATTCCGTAAACCTTAAAGTAAGTCGTAAACAATATTTCTCTATTTCAAATACAAACTTTAATTGTTTATTTTTTTCTTAAATTACAATAATAGCAAAACACACTTTCTCATTATTGTACAGAGCATTCAACAAATTATAATCTATCAAGGCAGAACTTTGATAACCTTTCATCTAAACATAAAAGGATGTTTGAACTTTTTAAAACCACCTCTTTACTCCAGTTGTTTTTATATCTTTTGTTTACATAAATATTTTACTCATTGTTGTGCAAAAACTGTTGTTTCTCATGTTGTCCTTATTCTATTTTTGTTTAATACTAAAATTTAATGTGAAAGGAAATTGTTAATTTCATCACGCAGCCTAATTTACTCAACAATTTTTTATTCATATAATTTAATTAATTAACACAACCTCCACACCTTATTTTGAGAGAAGACAGAAGTAGATATATGAAGTTGTAACCAAGTGTCACGTACGAAACAGTGTCAGGTGAACAGATTCATGAATAAGGAACCATGTTTATCGAAAACAATAGACCTCTTGTCTTTCTCATCGAAGGCGATATATGGAGACGGCCATATTCAAACGAATTCAATGTCAAAAATGGACCACAGAAATATATCTTATCAGGTTCATACTTAAAAAAAAACAACATATTTTCCTATATGTACGGCTTTTTAATGAATTAGGAATTGGTACGGCTTTTTAATTAATTAAGAGTAGCTTATAACCTTTTAAAAAATAATGCCTTTACTTACCTGTGGACGAAAGATTTAACTGTCTCAAAGTATTATTCTGTTCCAGAGCATTTCCCAACATAGAAGCGCCTTCATTTCCGATTGGATTCAATCGAACGTCTAAAACAGTTAGACTATTATTTTTTTGTAATGGGATCGACAATATTCCAATATCGGAGCTGGTCAATTGAGTTTTGCCCAAACAAAGCTCCAAAATACAGTTATATGTATGCAACACATCAGCCAGGACCTTTGTGCGATCACCTTTCAAATTATGACCTAAGATGCTCACCGTCATCATTGGAACCAGCAAGGACTTATCCTGTTCATGATCGTTGTTCATGCACAACGATCCGTCCGTCGTAGAAGCGTTCGAGATTTGTGAAGAGTGAGAACCGGACGCCCGCAGTCCGATGCCTCGTTTCCCGTTCATAGTTTTTATCCGATCCAACTCGACGACGGGCTTCAAAAGATGAGCCTCCTCATCGTAAAATCCAACATCAAACTTGATGGTCTTCTCCTCAGCCAGTATGTTATTCTCGTCTTCGTCAACGGCGTGGATCTCTGAAATCATGAACGAGATCTTGGTCATGGCGTCCAACATTTCAGAAACATCACGGTATTTATCTGTATTTCGCAGTACTTGACAAAACGCTGCATATTGTTGGTCATCTCCTCTGGATACTGTAGTAATGAGGCTCTCGCATACTAATCGATGGTCGGGATGACCACGAAAGGCTTGCAAGTCGCCGCTTGTTATAACTTGTGTTCTATACATCTCTTCGATGAGCCCAGTTGGCTTCAGCCGCTGGCACAGTAATTCAGACAAGCAATGAAGAATAAGAGTGTGCTTGGTGATTTTGTCACGGTTTCTATGAGTCTGACCCGATGCTACCAAATCCATCTTGATTCTCATAGGGTTACCATTCGCAGAATATTTAATACCTTTTCCATCATAAGCAGTTTTATTAGTCAAATCAGGTTCCACCTTATTGACAGCCTCGCTTCCACTATTCTTAATACAGTACAAAGACCCATTTTGAGTGGCTTCCGTTAAAAATCGGCCGTTTTCTATATTGATTGGAAATTTGATAAACTCCTCGTCTTTTGAGTGACGGTTGTTAGAACTCATGACAAACGAGTTTCGGGACGAGGTTAGGGTCTGCGTGTTGCGGTGGTTGTTGATCGAGGAAGAACGCATAAGAAAAAGTCGAGGCGGTTTTGGCGGCGGCTTCAGCGACTGAGATCTTCGAAGAGCATTTTTATCAAGAACATCTGGCAAGTCTTCTAGCAAGTCATCCTCTTCATTAGACACTCCATCGTCTGCTTCCTTCAGAATGCATTCGCGTCGGCTTCGTCCGTCGGACTGGCCGGCGAGCAAGCTGTCCGAAAACTCTACTCTGTCTCCATCTTTTTTGTTACTTGAGTTGTGGCGTTTTGATGACAATCGTCGCCAGAACTTCCAAGGGGGAGCATGTGTGGTTGGAGAGGTCTCGCGTTCTGAAAAATATAATAAATAAATAAATAAAATAAAATATATATTATTAAATGCCATGAACTGTTGAAACTTGACTAATGCATGGAATAATAATGCAACACAAAAAGTACTTAGAACAAAATGTATTGAAACAAGAAAGTGTACACAATATTTACATATAGTCTTTTGTATATTCCTGGTAAGACCGTTCTTGGAGAATGAGTTGACTGAGTCTCAGTCGGGCAGAGTCTCTGATTGAATCTCTTGATTCCTCTTACTCTCTTCCCGGTACCAACCATATTTATATGGTCGATACTCCACTATGCAAATTAGGTGGATCCTACCACAACATGAACAGAAACATTAGTTTGAGTTATAAATAATTTTCGTTTTTTGCTTATCGAGTTTATTATTCAAAAAATAAAATTCAATTAAGTTTTATTCAACTTTTAAAGCCACTGTAGAGGTGGTGTTAATGTGTGTAGCCACTGATGGGCATTAAATAAAACCCTAGAGTTTAAGCTTGATGTAACCTACACTCGGATGCTGAGAGCTGTTGCAGTCACGCCCAACTAATTCACAGCTTTATGGAGCCATCCTTAGTATTTCTACAATCTTACGCGAACTCAGAATGAGCTTTGAAGGGCACTGCTGGCGATCAAAACAAGAACTTTCGAGTTATCTACTGCTCTGGACACCTAGCCATGTAGCAAGACGGATTGGTCGCTCAGCAACCGTCTACATTGATCAGCTATGTTATGAGACAGAATGCTACACTACCGTGATGGCTGGTGTGATAGACTTATGAATGTCCGCGCTAGCTCGACCGAATAATAATAATAATAATAATAATAATAATAATAATAAAAAGTTGTCAAAGTACAACGACCTTGAAATAGAAATCTCGAAAATGTGGCATATGGGAACATCAACAATCCCTGTTGTAGTTGGAGCCCTAGGACTGGTTGGAAAAGATTGCAGTAGACTAATTGAAGGGATTCCTGGCAGTACATGCCTCAAGGAGATACAAAAAATTATTCTGACAAGTACAGTCCACACCTTACGAAGGGCTTTATCTATATAATTTAGTTCTTTTTTTTTTTTTTGTCAGTGGAAAGTGTCATGACGCCATTTCTAACTTTAGGTCCCTGGGCGGGACCCAGAAAGAAATGTGTAAACGCCAGAAATCAAAGAAAATAATAATAATAATAATAATAATAATATATTCCCCATTATTTGCAATGACTTGTTTCCAATTGTCAGTCAGCTCTTCGGTACCATTTGAGTAGAATTCTGCAAGTTTTGACGTGAAAAAGTTTTCTACGATCTCTTGAATATGGAACGTTTTCCTCACCAAAACATTTTGCAGCAATCGAAAAACATAATATTCGGTTGGTGCCGGGGTCAGTTGAATGTGGCAGTTGAACGGGCCAGCTGAGATCCTAAACCTTTTCTTATGTTATTATTCTTGTTTTATGCTGTCTTGTTTTGTCATGGAGAAGAAAAGTATTCTTTCTACAGACGAGCGTTAGGGCACTTTTCGACCAAACATTTATGAACATGTTGCAATTGATGAACGTATAAACGTGCATTTATTTTTTCATTGCTTTTTAAGAACTCTCAATGAATAGTAGCCCGACGATCCTGCCAAACGTGGACTTTTGAGCTAGCTCCTGCGAAGGGCTAACTGGGCCTTCAGCCCAAAACTAAAGGGACCTTTAGTCCAGCTTAAAAAACAGCAATAATAATTTTGAAGAAATTACTTTTACTTCCTCAATTTACTCCATGGAACTTCAAAACCTCACTTTAACTTTGATTCGGGCCATATGTCCAATTCCAGGTAAAAGACCGATTTGGACCGAAAGTTTGATTTGGGACGAAATTCCAATTCAGGCCGAAAATTGAGTTCTTCAAATGAGAAACTCTGCAGAACTTCAAAACCTCAAGCCACGAAACCTCTCGCTTTAACTCTGATTCCTTGGAATTTTGAATAAATAAAATTGATTTCCTCAATTCACAAAGTTTTGGAAATATTTCAAGCAGAATTTAAAACACATTTTTTAAAAATTCCCAAAGTTTTGGTGTTACTTTAAATTCAATATAAATTAAAATCTTTTAAAATCACTATTTTTTTTTTCAGTTATTTTAAAATTTGAATTTTTAACTGTTCCATTCTCATCCGGACACAAATATCAATGTTGGATGTTGAAGCACCAGATGAATAGCAGATATTCAGTCCTAGTATCATTTTGGTTCCAAAAAGGTATAATATGTCTATGTAGAGCAAGTGGGGTTCGAGTTAGAAGGGGTTTAGACACACGGAGGGACAAACAGAATTTTCCGTTTATATATATAAGTGTACAAAGCTATCGTTTTGTCAACTCTTTTGTATGGCTCTGAAACTTGGACACGTTATAGATGGTACACTAATCGATTAGATGTCTTCCATAAAAGGCTGTCTCCGTACAATGTGGCCTAACATTTGATGATCGAGTGTCAAATGCCGACCTTTTTGGGAAATGCAAGATTGGTACCATAGAGACCTTCATAATGCAATCATGACTACTTTGGGCTGGCCAGGTGGCAAAGATGAGTGATGATCACATACCAAAAGTTCTTTTCTACAGTGAACTCCATAGGGGTCATAGAAATGTTGGTAGACCTTGGTTCAGGTATAAAGATAAACTGAAGAGCAACTTTTCTTGCGTCAACATTCCATTCAAGAACTTTGAAGAAGTAGCTATGAAGAGATCAGAATATCGTTCTAGCTGTCATGCAGGATTAATGCATCATCAAGAAGTAAGCATCATTCGACTATGTGAAATGGGAAAACAAAATAAGACAGCTAACAGTGTTCCTGCTGCACTTGGATACAATACAATCTCCTGTACTCTTTGTGGTCTTTTGTGCAATTCTCGAGCCGGCTTCAAAAGTCATGCCCGTCATAATCATGCAGATAATTAGTTCGTGGTCGTCGGAAACTCATACGTCAAACTCGATGGCTGAGTCCATCATATATATATATATATATATATATATATATATATGTGTGTGTGTGTGTATATGTGTGTGTGTGTGTGTGTGTGTGTGTGTGTGTGTGTGTGTGTGTGTGTGTGTATTTAGGCAGAAAAATTCTATTTTAGGCATGTCTGATTGAATAAATTACAGACATTATGTCTGCTAATTTTTAACAGAATCGTTCATACTCACGAATAACCTTTCAGGTATTGATAAAGAAGGATGAGAATGTGATATGGTTTAAATTTCTTTTATTTAAGTACTTGGGAAACGTAAATAAAAGAAATTTAAACAGCTATAGCATATTTCTCTCATCATTTAACAAAAAAACAACACACACACACACATATATATATATATATATATATATATATATATATATATATATACATATATATATATATATATATATAATGCATTACCTTCTTTACATGGAGCTTAGCTTTTACGGTACTTTTTATCTTTGTCAATCCACTACCTTTTGCGTTGAACATTGTCGTATGTAACCGATTTTTCATCACCTGTTATGCTATATTTGAGGAACGGGTAGTTAAGATGATACATTCATCACTAAAATTGGTTCTCAAATACAGAACACAACCTAATAAAAAAGGGTTGAAATTTTTAATCAAAATATTGTAGTCTCTTCGTACAATAAGAAATCCATTTGATCATGTTTATATCTTATCATTTCAAAAATCACACACGCACAAATGATTTGAACAAAATCGATGTTATAACCGTCACTGTAATGTTTTATCAGATTTGCCTGTCAAGTAGGCAAAAAAATAATTTTGAGGGTGACTATTTATAATTAAAAATAAATGGTTCATCGGAAATCAGTCTTCCAAATTGTTATAATAAAATGATATCTTTTTATCTATAACAATTCGGAATATAGACTGCTTTCTTAACCCAGTGCAATAATTATTCCAGCCTTTTTTCTTTTGTTTTTTTCTCGATCCAACGCAACAGTCAGACCTTCCCCAAATCTGAAAGACATGGTGAGTAATGAACCATACCCAACGACGCTACCCCTGACATTTTGGCAGAAGGGTTGATTTCAGAGTTGTCCTTCAGCTAGACTGGTTGCCCTATCAAAGCTGAAGAACTTAGTTTGGTTTAGTATTTTATCTGGAGATTGGAGAAAACGGGGCAAATTTATAACTTTTACTATGTATACAGGGTAAAATCCCCCCCCATTCCCTTTGTATTCCATTGGTAAAAAGGAAGTTGCCTCACCGTTTGCCGAACTCTCACTGACAATGTTAACAAAAGTTTTCTGATCTTACTGTCAAAAATATGACGTTTATATTATGTTATTGGAATAAACCTTAAAGGTTTCTCAATAAAACTGTTCGTCGTGAGTGTCAATATCTTAAATAGTTTTTGATCTAATATATGTTTTACAATTATTTCTTTTGTAATCATTAAATACTTAATATGATCAGCATAACGATTTTTCTTAATTTACTTTACAAGTTTATTTAGTTATTTTTACTTTTTAACAATTAAAGAATTCATCTGACAATATCGATACTAGAATCATAGACAATTATACCTTTTTACAAAATCTATATCTTTAACCAGGATTTGGCTTGGGGATGATAAAGTATTTTACCGTTGCCGTTTCCACAGTGCCGTTATTGAAACGCTACCTCTAGTTAGTTGGCTGCTGGCTTAGAATTCTTTAGCCATTTAATTTGTCTTATTATGTATTTAGAATGCGAAAGATAGAGTTGAAATTTCTAGGACAAATAATAAGAAAAGACGGCTTGATGAATTTAACACCCACAGGATATATTGAAGGTAAGAAGAGCATTGACCGTGTAACATAACAAACGAGTTTGTTAGAACAGAGACCGGGAGGAATAATAAGGGGACAAACATTGCGTAGCTACAAAGGGCTAGGAAGTTATGGAAAGACATAATCACCCACGTCCTGAAGTCAAACGACATATAAAATAATAAGAAATCTTTACTTTAGTCATACGCCGTGAGTCAA